ACATAAGAACAAAATAAAAGCCCATTTGTTTGTTATTATCTCTGAAATTTGTTGTAGAAATATGAAATTGGTTGTGTCTAATATGACGACCATGTAATCAACCATCACACAAGAAGGCCATGGCCTGAGTTGTGTCGATACTCGTAGGTCCATGGCATAGTCGGTGACACTTCAGTGTAATATCATATACAGTAAAGTACGGTTATAACGAACTCAAAGGGACTACTAATTTTAGTTCGTTTTAACCGTAGTTCGTTATAAGCATATATACAGCATAACTACAGCAAATAGTCGGGACCAAAAGAGCAGTTCGTAATATCCGTCAGTTCGTTATAAGCGTGTTCGTTATAACCGTAGTTTACTGTATCTCCGTATTTGTAACACCTAACGGTTTTCCTTTAAAGCACCCGTTGATATAAGCGCCAATAACAACGACACATAAAATGGGCACTGAACATGATAATATAGCCTCACGAACTAATAATTTCAATAACACCAGACATTCATGAAAATGATGGGTATTCTTGGAAAGATAGAGGTAGGATCTTTATTGGGTCTGACCTGTTGAACAGCATGTATCTCACGCCCCTTTCATTCACTAAGTCACTACAAGTTAATTAGTGTTTCAACGGGTCTCTTCCAATCCACCATTTGTCCAAAAGAAGCATTTAATGTATTGAGTGCAGTTATCCTTGATCATGTACAGGATAATACACGTATATTGTTATCTACCGAACATGACAAAACATGCGGAGAAAAAAGTGTATATCTGACCATTAATATCCTTTGGGAAAAAATATAAACCCCGTTGTTTCTAGGATAGACTAGATACCAAGTATCACATTCTTTTAGCAATAGCCGATAATGAGGTGAGGTGAGGTGAAATGGGGTTTAACGTCGCGTCCAAGATTATTGCACTTATATAGCGACGTGCATGCACGTGTGTGTGTGTGTGTGGCTGCTTGTACTAGTCCGGACTGATGCCGATTTATAGTGCTACCCCACTGAAATACCATGCCGCAGTTAACATGAATACCCCACTCAGACACAGTATACTGACTCCGAGCCGACCAGTCCTTGTTTTAGCCCCTTAATGCCGAGCGCCAGACAAGGTAACAACAAGTACCATCTTTTAACGTCTTTTGGTATGACGCGGCCGGGGATCGAATCCCGGACCTTCCGCCATCCGGGCGGACGCTCTACCACTAGACCACGGAGGCGGTCATAGCCGATAATGAGGATCGGGTGGTTACAATGTTTCACAGTGTCATTAGGCCGGAAAGCGTGGTTTTAACTCATACGGTCAGCTACTGGTTTGGCAGGCCCGGACTCGTTTATTCCCCCACTAATTCACTGCGAGCAAAACCCAAAAGAAAAATAATCAATTGTTTTGTCTTATTGATATTGGTACGGTTTGTATGTTTTTCTTTACGTATAATCAGCAGAATCTTTACACTTGTATTCAACATAAACATATCGTTTTTATTCCCTTTAGTTTCCAAAAACTCAGAACTTTTGTGTCAATACATTTTTTGGTCCATCACTTGATTGTCTGGTTTGTTTACGGGCAGCCGTCGTATGACAGGGGAACTGCTGTGAGGCGTCAAGCAACGAACACTGACTTTCTTATTCAAATTATATGAATGACGAGTGCTACCGGTAGGACAGGACATGTTAACCCTTTCGCAAAGACCTGGTGTCATCACTGAATTTCAGTGATCCTTTCATATAAGTTTCACGATTATTTGCCCTTTACTACGGAAGCCTTTTAGGGCCAATTGTTTTTTTGGTTTTTTTTCGATACTATCTTGAAATTAAAAGATACTAAGTTGAAATTTCAAGATAGTTTCTTGAAATTTCAACTTAGCATCTTGAAATTTCAACTTCTATATCTTAATATTTCAATTAGTGTCTTGAAATTTCAAGATAGTATCGAAAAAAATAAATAAACAAATGGCCCTAAAAGGTTTCCGTACATTATACTCATTGGAATCGGTTTCGTCGGATAATCGAGAGTGGTTATTCACTGGCGTTGGCGTTTTATATTTACTATCTCCGGCACACACATACTATTTTAGCTGAACATGATACCAAAGGGTCGCTGGAGACCGTCTTTCTAAATAACTGTCAAGACATATTTTGAGCTATTGAATCATCTGGCAATATCTCTTAAGCCATCTCTTCAGGTATTAACGTCTTTGATATCCGTGTCAAAAATGTTTTCCATGTCAATTTACAATGTATGATGTTACATCCGTATGATGGATAGACACGAACCGTCAACTTCAAGGTTATCTATCCTGGGAACTAGGTTGTCTAGCAGCGTGAGAGGGGACGCCCTGACCACTGACTGCTGAAGGTTTGTCTGGGGAAGAGAAATGCCCTTGTGAGATATGCGAGAAGACGGAAGCAAGGGGACAACCCCTCTATTAAGGCGCCCCGGGATCGATACCCGCCTTACATGTCATTAGCGGTTCAACAACTGGCCCACAGATGACGC